GTGTAATGCGCCGTGAAATCCGGTTTTAGAGACGGTATGCGGTAATTAGCATGCACCTGTGCATTAACATGGATTTTGATGTTAATGGGAAGGCATAAGGAATAGCAGCTCCTCAAATATCGCTCTTGGTTATCATGGCGCTGCTCTAGCAAAAGGAATGATGCGAGATGCGTCTAACACCGTCAGAGACAATCTACGATAGAGTCACAGCCTGCTTCAATGACATCTGTGCAATCACAAGTAAAAGTGGGCGGTACGACATGCAGTTAAATCTGTCCTCTGAAGCGATATTCACCAATCAGCATGTTTTGACGCATGAACGTGTATGCGCGTGCTTATGCACTTATGCCTCTTAATTTGTTTATTTTCGTAATCAGAGAAAACAGCTGAACAGGTGATTAGCCCTAAGTTACTTCACTAGCGTTTTGCTAGCGTCAGTTTCAGACTTATGACAGGCACTCAAACAATAGTAGCAAGTGAGACGGGTGCACTCCATCATACTCGTTCTCCCAAGCATCTCCTTGTGCAAGATATTGTCAGGTCCGGGACGGGTGGCTACATTTTTGCTGCATGCGATGTTGTGGTTGGTGCAATTGGATGAAAGGAACCAGCAAAGAGCTTTTTACTAATATTTTCATTTATTTCAATAGAGAAAAGCAAGAGTATTTCTAAAATTAAATTCTATCAATACATATTGTTCCTATTTTTGAAAGCAGTTTTTATTTACGAACTGATTGAAGTGGTCTTCAACATTGCAGAATGTAAAGGTTTCTAGAAAATGAGCAAATATAACTCATAGGGTATTGTATGTTTCGAACGGTCTTTCGCAGTTCTTCCTCGCTATGGCCAGCGAGTCTCCTCCAGGCGATGATGTTTGACACAGTTTCATCGTTTAGCCAGCCACTAAGTTCACTACCATGCGACGTTGGCTCGACTGGCCTCATATCCTTGCCTTCAGCCATGTTAACATTGCTCATGGACAGATGACTGCGATCTGGAAAATCTGGTCATTATTAGCATTATCTAAATTCACCTTGTATACATGATGATAGCTTGCGCCAGAAAAGCTGGCAGTTTTCGGTGCTGAACGGTTTGGTCATCTGAGGACTTCTAACTCGTTGCTTCTTAACATTCATGGTGTCGAGCTTTCAGCTTAGATAAGAATGCATACTTCTAGCAGTGTACTGTCGTTTGCCGGTGTACGGCTTTATGGCACTATAGTCCTTGTTTCATACCACTTCCTGTTTCTATGACGCTAGGTCGATTTCGACTACAAAGGACACTGTACGTATATTTATTTAAATGTTTATTTCTTGTGCCAGTATTATGCCACCAGGAACAATGAAAGTTGCTAAAGTTACTAAAAACTACATTAAGATGACATTTGTCGGATGAGATTTGCTTAAACTTTTCACTGTAATCCGCATAGAAAGCATTTGAAAAGTTTAAGTTCTTTGTTGACAACGGGCCTACTACGGGTTAAACGACATTTTAAGCGATTATTTATAGCATCTTGAAACTTCGATGGAAAGTTATGGTGACTGTCATTTGCATAGTTGCCATATTGCATGACATCCCATGTAAATAGTAAACGTGTAAAGTCGTGGCTGGGTTCATTGAATCATTGACAGTGTTAGGCATACCAACTTAGTCCGATGAAATGAAGTGCGTTTTCAGAGTAGAACTAATTTAATGTTATTCATCTGCAAGATTTAAGGGCAGTCATCTGACTAGAGATAATGTCACTCTAACATGAAGACGGTTGAGAGATGAAATTTGGTCACTTGTTATTTTGGTTGATTTTTGGTGCAGCTTTTTTGGGCAGTTACGGGAGTTCATGATTGAAATGCCAGGAGGTGGAGTGAAACTGATATAAACGTCAGTAACGAATAGAGCATTTTCAGAATAGACGTTTATGATATGTTTAAGACTTATATTCACTTTGCGCTTCAGGAAAACGGTGGGCATGCACTTAACGTATAATCTGAAAACAGAATTAAGTGGCAATAGTTCTGCCTTAGCTTCAAACGCAGGAGGCATATAACAAATGAGGTGATGAGGAGAACCATCACTCCTACATTTGACAGAGTGAACTACAACATGTATTAGCAGTTGGTCGATCTTATCTGCACCACGTTAAGGTCACTGCACAGTTCATGAGGGCATTCGAAACTTTATCCATATTTTTTGTGTCACGTTCTCTGAAAATGAATCCAGTTTGAACCGAAATGTCGAGATTTACTTTAATGAAATTCACATGCAGCATAAACCCTTCGAAGATTATGACAATTATGATGTATTATTATCGAAAGAGTGACCAAGTGTTACCAAGTGTTCAGTGACGGTTTCAGGAATAATCACAAGCTGTGGATTGCTATATGTATGCAAAACATTTGTCTTCAAAAATTGTTACCAAGCAAAAAGAATTCTCCTTTAATAAATGACATAGTCATAATATATATAATGCAGTATACATTTAAAATCGCGTCTCAACAGCAATAAGCAGGTGGTACAGTGTCTGCTATCAACATAGCAGCCAAACGACGCTGGCTAGCCTCACTGCAGCGAATAGGAATGAGAAAGCTGAGTAATTTTGCTGCAACATTCAAATAACAACTTTACAGTCTATCTATGCCTTATGTCTAGAACCATTGCAGCGTCGTTATAATTTAAGAATACAGTGAATTGAAATGAGTTTCAGAAATCATTTTGACGGCAGACATTTTGTGCTCATTATTCTCATTAGTCAACTATCAAGTTGGTCAATGCAGCATAATGCATCGAAGGGCTTAGCTGTGTGCTCCAATGCTAAAGCTTGAACGCACTGAAGCACCATACTGTTCTTATTGTTTCTGAGTCAACGGCTTGCCTTCCTGCTCTTCGATTAACTCTCCTGCGGTACACTCAAGCGAATTAATAATTATTCAGAGAAATTTTGCAACTGTAACCCAGCACCTCTAACGTACAATACATGCCTTTTAATCACTTTTAAAAGAGAGTTTAGCATCTACATTTCAAAAAATCAAAAATTCTGCTAAAGAGGTAATTTACAGCGTAACTTACTGTAATATTCCCATCTATTGGCCCATAATAATTCAGTTCTTTGCAGAGTTATTAATTTAGAAAATGTTTTGTAAGGTATGAGTGATTTAAAATGAAGTTTGGTCAGTTAACAGAAACAGTTCATATGGCGACGGATGGGTTATGAATTTTTGGTAACGGTTTAAGTATGGGCCAGATGTTTGCAGTTGAAATTTGAATGATTCTTGGTGGAGGAAAAGAACGTTTGTTCCAGTTTATCTTCATGAACAATTTCTAGCAACTGTTCCCGCAACACGTGAATCTAGATATTTCCTAGGTCAGTTGCAACGAGCGAACAGCTTCCGCTTAAAGCGGTAACCATTTGATTATAGAATCCCATCACTCAAAACCGGCGTCACCTGATTCTGCAATTGTTAAGGATTCCATAGCTGTTAATTTTTTAATAAATTAAGTTTTGACTTCAAAAAGGTCGAGATTACTTTCACTGCAAAGGGAGTGGCTTTATTTTTGTTCATAAGGGTTTTTTGCACTTTCAGATATGAATTTAACTTTGTTACTAAGGATTTGAGAAACTTTGAGTGCATGAATTATAGCAATATTTATGGTTCTATCACAAAAAAACTATATCTATTAAAAATTAGGTCGCTACTAAGTGCAGACAGTTAAAATGATGAAAACAGCCCATAACTTACAATATCTAAATTACAACTTTCTACGGCAATCTACAACGTTATTTTTAATAATACAGTGATGAGTTAAGTTAGGACCACTAATACAAATGAACATACGGGAGTCTATGATATCTTAGCAAGTACGCAGAGGTTAAATTGGGAATGGGCAGGACAATTTGCAAGAAGAACCGATAATCGCTGGGCCGAAAGTATATCAGAGTGGATTCCACTCCAGATAGCAAACGGCGGTGTGAAACTTGCAGACTGATGGTAGGATCAACTGAAAAATTTGTTGGAGCAGTTTTGATGAGAATTGCACAAGACTGAGTTTTGTGGCCAAATCTGGAGATGTCTTGATCATACGGTAGATCGTAAAAGACCGATACCGATGATAAATACATTCAGAATTATTTGGCTGACCAAATATCAGTCTTCAGGAAATAATTTGCTAATTTTCTAAGATAATTCTGTATTGCTCTCCTATTGCTGATGGAATTAATTTAAGGGAATTAGGGATTAATTGAAGCAACCTCCGCATTATCCTCGTCTACTGTTTTTAAGGGATATACCTTTGTCACGATTTTGATTATTTGAAGTTTCTTCTTCATTCATTGGATGTTGTCCTCACCGGAAAAAACTGGATGCGGAATGGAACTGACCAGAGGGCTGTGTCAAAGCGAGTAATGAATAACTCGAGGAAATAATCAGTTGCGCATAACTTGGCTGTCGGGTGGAATGCACGAACGCGTTCGACTGGGTAAGCAGTAGAAGAATGAGGAGGACATGAGCCAGCTTTTGCCATATTCAAATATCGCAATTCGACACTGAATTGCTATGCGGATCTGCAAGTTTGATTTAACCAACCTATGCGCAATGACCTGCTGTTAAAGTCGACGAGAACCAACTGATCTTCAAGGAATGTAGAAGGTCCGGGATCACATTCCAAGCGCACATATTCAATAACGTGGTATATTAATAGGCGCAATTATTGCCTTCCATGATGTTTGGAGAAGTCTGTTCTCGTAAAAGTTTGCCGGTAAATACCAAGGAATATAAACTGTTTTTTTTGCTGAATTACTAACATTCACACGGTCATCCATGAACACGATAGGACGACCTGATGGTCAAATTACTTGACCAGCGATGGAGGTAGGAAGCGAGAAACAGAGAATGTTGACGGAGCGTCGTCTCGTACTTATGTCACACCCATAATGATGATAAGTTAGATAGCTGACAACAGATTTCCTCTGATTATGAATTTGATATTTTCAGCTTTTGAAGTAACTTTCTTCCAACAATTTTGACTAGTTACTGGTGTGTTAAAGTTTACGATTAGTGCTAGTTTCAAAACAAGAAAGCTGTTAGTACTTTAGCATACAATATTTGACGTAAGTTAAGCACGATAGCTTAGAGGAAAAACAGCCTTTCCATTTGAACCAGTTACGGCAAACACTTTGCGACTTATATTTTCCAAAATCTACAACCGATTCAGTGTCAATGTTTCAAGCAAGAACCCTTACACAGCGGGTCTGTTTGTAAAATTGCCATTTCAGTTATTCGAGCCAAGAGGAACAAGCAAATGGCAGTGTTCATATAATTTATATAATTACCAACATTTCAAGAACACTACATTGGCCGGTCCTCAATACAAACCCCGTGAAACCATTGAAATGAGTTTCAGAAATCATACGATCTTCCAATTGAGTGAATAGAGGTACAAAGTCGATGCGAATAAAGTTGTTTATCTCGACATTTCGAACTTCTCATGGTGTTCCTTATTTTCATGCCATGATGATGAACATTGTGGTGTGCGAGACAGCAGGAAAATTTAATTCTTCACAAGTTAGTGCCCTTAATCATTGGATCACAAATCGTCCTGTCATAAAGAATTCTTAATATAAATGTCAACTTTTCAAGGTTATTCACTAAGTTAATTTGTGATAATTTAATGAAGATACTTCGACTGATTAAATGTCAGTCTTCAAATGGTCTACTAACTTTCGAATCCAATTTAATTCTATTTAAATTCAATTTCAAACTACTACGACATTATCTCTGTCTGTTTTTAAGGATTATAGCTTTTTTAAATTTTAATTTACTTAAACATCGGGTTCATTGAAAATCACATTACTTTCGAAGCATTATCATCACCGATCAGGGATTTTGTACTTCCAGTTATGCAACTGTTTTCACTGAGAAAACAGACATTTTCGGTTCGTAAATCTTAAGATTGGTTAAAGCTCTTGAACGAGAAAGATTTCAGGAGTAACATTGAAGATTGAGATTAGCACTCTTTTTAGTAAAGAAAGTTCTAATAGATGAAGATTATTACTACCTAGACTAAACGCATTGTTGGAAATTAAAATTTTCAAATTATACACTGACAAACTTAGCAGTGACTGAATGCCAGTCTTCAACAGGTATGCTAATTTTCAAAGATAACTACAGCACTGTTAATGAGTTAATAGACTGTATCACAGTTGTCACTTCTAATAAACATTGGGCTCCAACGCAGTGAAAATGCATTTTTTTATTAGCATGTGCATGATTATGTCCATAAGTAATTGCGCTCTTGACTTTGGACATTTTTCTCTTGAGAATTCTTGAAATTCTATCATTAGTTTTGCTGTAACGTTGTTCATCAGCATCTTAGAGTTTCTAACAATAATGCATATTTTGAGGTTTAACGTGTTTACCTCTCCTAACCGTAGCCGGTTATTATTTATAATCCCTTAGCATTTCTTCGTCATCACGCAACCATCATTTGTTAACTTAGTTTCTGAATGCTAAAACAGTCAAGCCGAATTAGTGCAGAATCAGAAAGCGAGTTCAGGACTGCCAATCCTTCTTGATCTTATGTCACCTGAGAGTCGTTAGCCATATGAGACATCGCCTGTGGTTGAGCATAACCGCATATCGTAACGCAGCTTTCGATATTGCATCAACGACCATTAAGCGCTTCCACCTTGACCATTGCGAAAACCATTCAGCAGAAACCAATTTCTGCGCGGTAAGCCAAAGTGTGAATGGGGGTTGAAGGGTTTTCATTGAGGGCATGGTTCGTCACTGCTGATGACAATCACATCTGTTGTCACTCGGTGGCCATCAAAATATCCATGCTAGGTAGCTTCTTACTTAAAAGCTGTTGAGAGGAAAACCGGCTGGGTGGAAGGTTGAAAAGTGCTGGGCGCTGGGCAGCTGTGGGTTGCACTGAAGTTTCGCCAACAATTTCGCAGCGGTAGCTTTTCGGCGTGTGTGAGGGGGTGTCTTGCTGCTTGGAAGGTGCAACCACGGAAATGATGTTAGCCGCAGTGCGCGAGGTACATTGAGCACATCAGAATTTAGCACCGTTTCATTTCATTTTATGTGGGCCAAAATCAGCCAAAGTGTCAAATTAGCAAGGTGTCAATGCTGAAGGATCTTGAAAGCGAATTCGTACCTTTTGCTGATGAAACGTTAGATTAAGATTTCTTGATTTCCGCACAAAAGTCATTCTAAGCAGGTGATTCTTTTGACACAGTATTGCGTTTAGAACACTGCGGAACATTAGCTGTTCATTTCATGGTATGGCTGCAAATTGAGCATCTGTCTTTCTCTAAGAGCAGATTTTACAGCCTGCTGCGTCACCATTCAATCTAAGAAGCCTAGGGAATTAGAGCGCCTGTATCTTGTATCATTTGTTTTCGATTGAATAGTAACTCCCCCTCCCAATGTTTTAAAATATGATGAAATTCACATGCCTTCTCAATACTATAATAAATATTTGTTCCTAAACAAGGTTATGCTATTTAGCAAAATATCTAAGAATGCGTCGCCTTATTGTTAGAAGAGCACTAAGCTTATTTAATCACTGCTAATCAAATGAAA